TATTTTGGTCTCTCTCAGTGGGAATGGAGCTTTCCGGTTGCATCTATTTGGCCATCTTCTGTTCTTTTTCAGCTGAGTGGCTTTTCATACCTTGAATACACCACATTTTATTTATCCAAACACCGGATGATGTGCATCTGAATTGCTCCCAGTTTTAGCAACTAAGATTTATATTTCTATGCAAATCAGCCCACATATCTTTCATTTATTGTGGGTAGCTACTTGGGGTGAAAGTACTGAATTATTTAGTGGATTTTTTCATCATTTAAGGACTTGTCAGAATACTTCTTTTAAAAGTGACTGTACCATTTTACATTGCCACCAACATCTTGATAAGAGTTCTAATTCCTCTACATCCTCACTGACGCTTAGTATTTTCAACCTTTATTACATCGGCCTTTTTATTTTTTAGTGTGTAGTAATAGCTCATTGTGGGTTAATTTGCATATATATTGCTAGTGATTAATGATGTTGAGCATCTTTTTTTTTTTTTTTTTTTTTTGAGAGAGAGAGGATCTCCCTCTGTCAACCAGGCTGGAGTGCAGTGGCAACATCATAGCTCACCTCAAACTCCTGGGCTCAAGGTATCCTACCACCTCAGCCTTCTAAGTAGCTGGGACTACAGGCACACATCACTATGTCTGGCTAATTTTTAAAATTGTCTGCAGAGATGTGGTCTTTCCATGTTGCCCAGGCTGGTCTGGAGCCACTGACCCTAAGTTATCCTCCTGTCTTGGCCCCCCAAAGTGCCATAATTATAGACATGAGCCACCACACCTGGCCTTGAGCATCTTTTACTATCATTAGTTTCCACCCAAGTATCTTCTTTAGTGAATCATCTGCTCAAGTCTTTTAGGTCGTACAATGATTTCATTGGATAGTTTGTCTACTTGCTGAGTTGTAAGAGTTCTTTTTGATACAAATCCTTTATCACATATATGTTTTGCAAATATAATTTCTGCCAGTCTATGGCTGATATCTTTATCGTCTCCTTGGAAGAACAACATTTTTAATTTTAATAAATCCAGTTTGTCATTTTTAATGTTTCTTTTTTTGATGCCACAGGTAAGAAATACTTGTCTAACACAAGGTCACTAAATTTTTTTATAAGACTACTTCTAGAAGTTTCATAATTTCAGCTTACATTTAGGTCAGTGATCTATTTTGAGTTAATTTTTATGTACAGTGTAACGTGGGTTTGAAGTTCATATTTTTTGCACCTGAATTCCAAAAATTTATTATTTGTGGAAAATATTATCTTTGAATCTTTTGAATGATCTTAGCACCTTTGTCAAAAATCAATTGATCATATATGTGTTATCTACTCTGGACTCTAATTCTGTTTTATTGTTGTAGATATTTATTTATCTCACCATACACCAATATACCTTCTTGATTCCTACATACTTAATGGCACATTTGGATACAGATAATGTAAATCTTCTCATTTTATTCTTTTTTGACAAGTACTTTGGCAATTTTATAACTTTTATATTCCTCAGTACTTTCAACAACTTCATTGAGATATAATCTGTATACCATAAAATTCTCCCATGTAACATTCTCCGATATGTAACATTCAATAAATTTTAGTATATTTATTGTGTTCCGCAACTGTCACCATAATTTAGTTTTTGAACATTATCATTACTCCAAAAGGGTGCCTTGTGCTGGTTTACAATTAATTTCACCTTCTACCCTAGTTTAAAGAAATCTATTACCTCTTTCTAATGTTCTGCCTCTGAATGTTCCATATCTATGAATTGTACAATATGTAGTTTTTAGTGTGTCTTTTAATTTGGCATAATATTTCCAATATTTATCCATATTGTAGTATAAATCAGTATTTCATTATTTATTATTTTTCTGATTAGCTTGTCAATGTACGAATAGTTCACATTCTGATATTCATTGAAGAGTTGATCAAGATTTGGATTGTTTTACCTTTTTAGCTATCATAAATAATGCTATCATGTATATATGAGTTTAAGTCTTTGTATAAACATATTTTTATTTCTTTTAGGTAGATACTGAGGAAAGGGATTCCTGGATTTTCTGGTACACTTATGTTTATTTATTTATTTTTTAAGAAAGCAAACTATTTTTCAAAGTGGCTGTGTTATTTTACATGCTTACCTGGAATGTATTAAAATTCCCATTTTTTTCATAACCTTAACAACGAATATTATTGTCTGTGTTTTTTTATTATAGCTGTTGTATTGACCTTATGGTGGCATGTAATTGTGATTTTAATTAAAATATTCTCAGTGACTATGATGTTGAGTATCTTTTTTGTACTTATTAGTTATATTAGACATGTTCAATTCATGCACCATTTATAAAATAAATGTGAAAGGTCTTAACTTACCTATTAAAAGATAAAAAATACTTTTATAAGCTCAAATAAAATTCCCAGCTATGTCCTATATACAAAAAAAAGACACCTAAAGCAAAATAATTCAGAAAGACTGCAAGTAAAGAGAAGGAAAAAATTATGCTAGAAAGATGGAAACATTAAGAAAGAAGGATCTGAGAATCTAATAAGAAAGTAAGTAGAATTTAAACCAACAACTTTCAATGTGACAATTTAATGCTATCAAAATTTGCAATAAAAAATTATAAATTATAAATAGCTATATACCAAATGTATAGGAACCAAAGCTGTAAAGTTAAAAGTTAAAACAGATGCTAGAAACCTTAGGTAGAAACACACTCAATATAGAAAACATTTATATGGGCCTTTTAGTATCAAATAGATAAAGAAGCCATTAATATATATGGAATCTTTATATACCTATATATATACACACACACACACATAAACACACACACACACATATATATATATTGTATAAAAGACCTTAAGATCATAATAAATATAGATCTTGTGTGTATTTTAACACTGTGGAATTTACTAATATTTTCCATTATGGTTATGGTTATTTGGTTTACAGAATATTCTATATTATTTAAAAATTGTATTTTCTATGATCAGGTTAAATAACTACACAAATATACACACAAATACACGAAACAGTTCTGATTAAGTCTCTGTTATAGGCAGATACTGTATCTCTGCGACTTGTGAATGGGATCTTCTCAGTGATCTTGCTCTGCCTTCGGTTCTAGGTCTTAAATTAACACATATTTATGCTATTTCCCATCTTTTAGTTCCTTGTTCCCATCTATGAGCTGGAACAAATTTTTACCAGTACCTTAAGGGAAGCTATGTTTCTTGATCTTCTCACAGTGGTTTAGACTTCTGTTATAGGGTGGAGATAGGGAAGAAGAGATAGGGAAGGTCCAGGTCTTTGTGTGTGACATCATGTTTAGATACATTGAAAAGAGGTAAAGAAAAAAGTGGGGAAAAAGAAGAAAAATCTTTAGATAGAATAGAACTTGTCTATTGTTAATATTTAATATTCTTCAATATTAAATATTTTTTAAGAATAAGTTTTGTCCAGATTTGTTTCTTAAAGTGATGTTTGATATTCTTTAATTTTGTTGCAAGTAGTGAGAGTTCATTCTTTTTCTTTGCTTCATAAAATTTATTTGCATGAATATATCACAATCTATTTAGGCATTCTACTAGAGATAAACTTTTTAACTTAAATTTTAGTATACTATGAACAGCAATGGTATGAAGAATGTTGTACTGTAGTACACATATTTTAATTAATACGTGAGTGCAGCCTGTAATTCCAGTACTTTGGGAGGTCAAGGCAGGCAGATTGCTTGAGCCCAGGGATTTGAAACCAGCTTGGGTAACATAGTGGGACCCTGTTTGTACAAAAAAAGTCAATGTATATATGTTGGAAGTATATTTAGGAGTGGTCATAAGGAATACTTTATGTAGATTTCCCAAAATGTTTTCAAAGTGGTTGTATAACTTTACATTCCCCCGTGTATGACTGAAATTTCATTCGTTCAGCATCTTTGTCAACACATGGTAATAAATCTCTCGGTAAATTCTGGTCACACTTATGGGTGATTAGTGGTTCATCTTGTGATTTTAATTTGCCTTAATCTAATGATTAATAAGCACTTTTTCACATAGAATAGCAATACGATATGCATCATGAGTGATGATTTTCATAAAATGAATAAGTACTATATACAAGCACATTTTGAAAAGTATAAATAGGCCAGGTGCAGTGGCTCACACTTGTAATCCCAGCACTTTGGGAGGCCGAGGCAGGCAGATCACTCGAGGACAGGAGTTTGAGACCAGCCTGGCCAACATGTTGAAACCCTGTCTCTACTAAAAGTAGAAAAAGCAATTAGTCAGACATGGTGATGCTCACCTGTAATCCCAGCTACTGGGAAGGCTGAGGCCTGAAAATCACTTGAATACAGAAGGCAGAGGTTCTAGTAAGCCGAGATTGTGCAACTGCACTCCAGCCTCCAACAGAGCAAGACTGTTTCGATAAAATAAAATAAAAGTATAAGTATGTCCAAAAATGTCCAATAGTATTATAGTAAATGTGCTTTCATTAAACTGGAAAGAACTTAATCAGATACAAGCCATGAATCTTATGTGAGAAGACAAACACACTAGAAGGGCTCTTTCAGGTACTTCTGTTACTCCGTAGATGGACAATTTCCTGATTTGTTTCTGGTCAGAAATGACTGCAGTAAAAGACAGGCCTGACAAAGAGAAAGAGTGCTATATAAAAGGGAACTGAACAATATTAACAAAGTTCACAGTTCCATTTCCTTTAACTAGAAATTCTTCTGACTGAAAGACTGTGGCACATATTGAAATAAAAGTAAGGAAGTGGTAAATAGATTGTAGTGAAAGTTCTCTTTAACAATCTAAGGAGAGAATATCTCCACATCATTTATCTCATTATTCCTATTCTTCCCTTTCTAGTCATAATTACAGACACCAAAAGCCCAATTTCAAGAGTCTCTCAACTCCAAGTAATGTCTGCCAAAAGTGAGACATTGAGAACATCTGAATTCTCATTGAAGAAAACACTTGGATCTTGGAGTTGTACATGGCAGATCTTGAGGATAACGTCCAACATTCGCACTTCGCAAATCTCCAAGTAGGAGGATATGGCTATTAGCTTTGTCAGGATACAGAGTAACATTCATTACAAAAAGAAAAAAGATACATGCATACATATACATACATGAATAATGAGATCCTATCTCCCCAGAAAAGTGTATAAAGTGTATTTCTTCTCAAGATATTATATAACTGAGCAGTATGAGATCAAGAGACCAATGACAATTCTGTTTAAATTATTTAATAGAGGATTACTAATACATCTGCAGAACAAACAAATCCCTAACCACAGACATTAACCATTTTCTGAAAATTCAAATAATAAAAATCAAATATAAGACTAATATCTTTGAGTTCAATTTTCATAACCAAATGCCCTATAAATTATCTGCCATTAAGTCCCTTCACCTATCAGAGATGGCTGAAAACATTTGTTAGTTCTAAATAATAATTTCCAGAAAAACATTTCTTAGTTCCAAATAACAACATCATTTACCAAGGATGCGAGGATTTGCCATTTATTCAAGTTCTTCCCTAGAAAACAAAAGAAAGTCCACTTATGTTATTTTTTGAAGTGAATATATATATATGAACATTTTAGAAGTATTATTTACAAACAATTTTCTTAAACTTCTAGTCTGTCTGATTCTCTGAATTCACACTGGGCTACCCTGAATTTTCTGATTTAACATTAGCTCTTCATACTATAAGTTAAAATGTTTTGCTTCCTTGCTTAGTTTTTATTTTAGGTTTTAAAAACAATTTTAATATTTATTCAAATTTTATATCATACAAATAATATAGGCCATTGTAAAAAGTAATATAAAGAACAGCACACCAGTAAAACAGATACCCCCAAAAATCTACCCTTAGCAGTTGAAAATTAAATATACTGAATAAATATATAATTTTATAAGTAACATTGAATAATTTACCTGAACTCTGAACATTGCACCATTTATTCATTTTTCCCTTACTTTGTCATTCTGTTTGCCTATTATGTAAGTCATCAATTGTGAGCCTGGATCTATTTAAGTTTCATACTGATTCATTCTCCATCTTGCCAATATGATTACAAGGATGTATGCAGTTACAGAGTCTGCACGGTCAAAATGATGTACTAATTTCTGAAAATAAATTCAATAGTTAAAGTAAAAAGGTTGTCCATATGATTTCACAAAAAATATTAGATTATGAGCATACTGCTAATGGGCTGTCCCTTACATAGAAAGCAGTTGCACTTTTTAATCAGTCTAGAAATCGGCCCTACTCTGAGCTCTGAGTTCACAGCCTAGGGCACTTGCAGCTATACCGCCTCACTTTTATAAGGAAAAATTTGCAGTTAACATTTATCCAGTTACAAAAAAATCACTAGTATTATGTATCTAAGATGCTTGAACAAAATCTCATTTCATTCCACAATTTGAAAACTATAATATCATCACTTTGTTTTTCCCAGATTAGTTCTTATTTGTGACTTCTAAATTTTCAAATCAAATGAAAATTCTCAGTCAGAATTGAGTCTATACCAGTAATTTTTAAAGACCCTGACTCTCGTATGTCTTGAGAATATTCAGCAATAAAATTCTAGTATACAGTTTTTACCAGACTCCACTGCAGTGCTCCCCGTGTGGAACAATGCGATTTTTTTCAAGGCTAGTAGTTTATGTTGTTTGTTTGCCAAAGTAGAGACTGTGAAATTGGTTTATAGAACTGCCCTTGGGACCACATTGTCCTCACACTTATAGGGTCTCTTTCATCTAGACTCCTTCTCTACTTTTCTATTCCTGCACCCACTATTTCTACATTCACTAAAGTAACTGCCTCTGTTACACTTAAAAAACTTAGCACCTTCACATATGCATAGGATTTTTAGAACTAAAAAATTAACCTGGAATAGATTAGTAGAATTTTGCTTTTGCAGTTTTTTTTTGTTTTTGTTTTTGTTTTTGGCAACTTTTCTTTTAAACCATGCCAAATAAAATTACTGAATACTGGAAACATTTCTACATCAGAGGAAGGGAAAAAATAGATTCACAAAAAATTGAGTTAACATTTTAATAATGTATGAGCTCATTTCAGTAGCTCTTGTGAAAACTCTGAAAGCGCGTCTGCTGGAATTAAGGACAGACTCAACTGCGCATTGTCTCCAAAAGCCAGTAAAGGCAAAAACAGGAGGCTTACTGGTCTTCACAGGACACCTCTTTCACTAAGTCCTGTCTAAGAACTTGAGACAATTTTGAAAAATAGTCTTTCCTCAGTTTTCTCATACTTAAGAAGTCATTGTCTATTTTCTTTACAATAGAGACTCCCAATTGAGCAGATTGACAGAGGGGAAACCTCTGAAGAAGTCTCATTTCTAAGGATCTTCTCAGAGTGAGTGGGGTGGAAGGAGATCTGAGAAGTCAATGTGCTCTGTTATAAACATGAAAGAGTTGTCCACCAATTTCCAAGTTCTCATTCTTAAATATATCTGACTCAAAGATGACTGGGATACAAATCTAGTGATAAAAGTTAAAGAGAAAATAGAGGAGGGAGGTAGTTAGTTAGAATCTCAAGCTTTCCTCATATTTCTATGACCAAAATATTAACCTAAATATTATTTTATGGATTTTCAAAAACCTAAATAAATTTTTATTCATTTAAATGGCCAGATTTCCTTTGGCCTTGTACCTTCATCAATTCGCAAAATTCATTTGTTCCAGGATAAAGTATAAGTAAGCTGCACGATTTCTAGAGAATTTTTTGAGGGGAAACAATAAAGCAGCCACAGTTATAGAAGAATGTTTTTGGAAACAAATAATGAAAGTTGGAGGGAATGTGGATTTCATCTGAGAGAAATAATTTCCATGCACGTGAATGTTCAGCACCCTTACACCCTAAATCTCCTTTCTTACCTGGAGCAACTCCATGTCTGGCTTGTGGAGCATTTTCTTTTTAAGATACCCCCTTTTGGCCAGGCGCGGTGGCTCACGCCTGTAATCCCAGCACTTTGGGAGGCCCAGGCGGGCGGATCACGAGGTCAGGAGATCGAGACCATCCTATCTAACATGGTGAAACCCCGTCTCTACTAAAAATACAAAAAATTAGCCGGGCGTGGTGGCGGGCGCCTGTAGTCCCAGCTACTGGGGAGGCTGAGGCAGGAGAATGGCGTGAACCCGGGAGGCGGAGGCAGGCGAATGACGTGAACCCGGGAGGCGGAGCTTGCAGTGAGCCAAGATCGCGCCACTGCACTCCAGCCTGGGCGACAGAGCTAGACTCCGCCGCAAAAAAAAAAAAAAAAAAAACAAAAAACCCTCTTATGAGCCATTCTGGTCTTATGTGTGCGTATGTGTGTGTGTATACATAAACATATACATATACACATATGTATACACACATATATGTGTGTGTGTATGTGTGTGTGTGTATGTGTGTGTATATATAGACATATGAAGTTACTAAAAGTTCTTCTTGCCCTCGATTTTCAGTCTTTCTAAATTATGTTGTCTGTCCTCATGGAGAAATAGAGGCATCTTCTAAAACTAAACACTGATTGTTTTTCTCCTTACATTCATATACTTCTGCTGTGGTATTGGGTTAGACAGAACGTAAACCCATTCATCCACCTATTATTGAATCTTACTGATACTTCCCTGCTTTATCACAGAAAAATCCATTATACTTCAGGCTTATTTGTCAGTTGTCAGAATCCATAAAACCTTGTGTCCTTTTTTCCCTGCACCAAGAAAAACTATTATCCACCCTACTTAATAAATTCCTGATGAAGTGCATGTTAAATGAGCCACCAAGAAAAAAAAAATTGCTAATTCCTATCTTGCAACCCTTTTTTTTTGGACAGTTAGGACAACTGGTCTTTAAAAGATGGGTTTTGAAGCTAAATTGGCTGGACTGGAGTTCATTATGGACTCCTATTTCCAAGATTAGACATCTCTAATTTTTGTAATTACTTTTGTGCTGATAGGTTACTTTTAAATTTTCCTATAATGTTATTGGGTTTTCTTTTTGTTTGTTTTTGTGTCTCCCCCACCCCGCCCTCTTTCTCTTTTTCCCCGCCCTGCCCTCCTCTCTCTTTTTCCTCCTTAGTATGACTGTAGAGCAGCGGTCCTTAACCTTTTTCGCACCAGGGACTGGTTTCCTGGGAAGCGGGAAGGGGAATGGGTTTCGGGATGAAACTGTTTCACCTCAGATCATCACGAGTTAGATTCTCATAAGGAGAACGTCATATAGATCCGATGCATGCGCAGTTCTCAATAGTGTTCCAGCTCCTGTGAGAATCTAATGTCACCGCTGATCTGACAGGAGATGGAGTTGAGAGGATAATGCTTGCTCACCTGCTGCTCACCTACTGCTGTACGACCAGGTTCTTAACAGGCCAAGGGTTTTGAGGACCCCTGATGCAGTAGAGAATGCTGGTTATGGTTGGTCTTTCAGCTTCTCTCATACAGTCGTAGGCATTTCTGTCCACAGGTTTTTAATACTCGGTTGTGCAGTTCGACCTTCAAGCCAGTAGATGGTGCTTATGTGTTAGAGCCGGTTTTGACCAACATGGCTGGGTTTATATTTGACCCTTGTTTACCAAGAGAAGCCCCAGGCAATGGGCTGATTCCTAGAGTGCACAATGTTCCCAGCTCCCTCCTCAGCTTTGGGAACAGCTGGGGCAAGATAGGCAGGGCCATACTGGGCAGGTCTGCCTATAAGTCTCCCATTGGCAGGCATAAGCACCAGCACCAAGTGAGAATCCAGTGGGTGGCCACCTAGTGCCCATGGAAAGTGGTTTTTCAGAAACAATTTGTGAGGCTAAATCCAATGGCAGAAGCAAGTCTAAAAATTAGAAGAAATTTGCAAGAGATAATAAAAGCTTGGGTTAAGAAAGAAGAAACCAGATATGTGAAGAACAAAATATACCTGACAGACATTTAAGGTTTAATCACTTAATAACACTATGTAGGGCCTGGTAGAATGTAGAGGATGAGGAAGAAAACAGTGTCTAAACTAAATCTTAGTTTTCCAGTATGGATAAGGAGGTAAATAATC